TACGTCAACCGAACCACACGCCTCTGGTTCGGCAAGCCGCCGGACTTCCATTGACGTAAGAGCTAACAGCCAGCACATAATGGAAGGGGCTCACCCTCTCTCGATTTTTTGCGGCGCATTGTTAAGTTCGTCCACAGGTATGCTTCGCTGTCAGTGACGGCCGGAATGTGAGGCGATAATAACGGTCATCTCGCGGCCCAACCATATATCTTTAGTCCGGCGAATGCGGAAAGTGGCGACCGGACTGGCAGTTTTAAGGTCACGCCAGTTGAAATGCGCCAATTCATTTCTATTCTGTCTGAACGGGCAAGCAACGAAATTAAAAAATGCAACTGAATTCCCGCAAACGCCGAAAACGGACATATTGCACATTTTGGCTTCCCTAACAACGGGGTACGGCTATGCCCTACGCACTGTAATCAATGAGAGCAGCAGTAGGCTTGCCACATCTTACCAGACCCATGGCAAGGTAAAAACCTTTCAGAGCTATTACAGCAGGACGCCTTGCAAAAGGCGCGGTGTGAGGGACGCCGCGGCCTTCAAAGTATTCAACTGAACTGAGCACATACCTCGGCGGTCCCAATATCTTCCAAATAGCAATTTCAATGCATGCGGTTTCGCCGGTATTTCTGCGATGACTGGTATGGTATGACTGGATGACAAGGTATCCAGCGCGATTGCGATTTCTTATCGTTCGGTCATATGAACCTGGACGATGAGATGCTGAGGATGGTGATGACGATTTGGACCTCAGGGCGCGCCGGTTACCTTGGTCACACGGCGCCGCGCCCATCTTAACCTGGACATTAAGCTCCGCGTCCTCATAACCGGGACGCAGCACCGCAACAGGTTGCCGTACGTCCTGTGAACACCTCCGCACCTTCCCGTCCTCGCACCAGGCCCTCATGTGTTCTGTGTGCTCCACTGTACCTTCTGTCTGTCACTAGCCCTCATGCGCTCTTTGTAAACTAGTGTTCCTCCCTGTCCCCGTACGGGATCCTCGTACACTCTGTGTACACCAATGTATCTCTCCCACCTTCATTCCTGGTCCTGATACGCCTATGTGCACGCCGCCGTCCTTCCCCGTCCCCGCACGTGATCCTCAACCGTTTGTGTCCCCCGCCGTCCCCCGCCTGCCCCGTACCTGGTTCTCGCGTGCCCGTGTCCATCGCCGCACTCCGCCTGCCCCGTACCTGATCCTTCGTACCCGTGTCCCCCGCCGTACCCGCCTGCCCGTACCTGGTTCTCACGCCCGTGTCCATCGCCGTACTCCGCCTGCCCCGTACCTGATCCTTCGTACCCCTGCATCCCCCGCCGTACCCCGCCTGCCCCGTACCTGGTTCTCGCGCCCGTGTCCATCGCCGTACTCCGCCTGCCCCGTACCTGATCCTTCGTACCCCTGCGTCCCCCGCCGTACCCCGCCTGCCCCGTACCTGGTTCTCGTACGTCTCGGCGTACACCACCGTCTCGGCGTCACGGTGCCCGGCGATCCAGGCCTTCGACTCCTGCTCCTTGCCCAGCCATAGGCGGACACGCAGCAGCGCCGGGATCTTCTGCTTGTTAGGTCGCGCTCCTGTCGGGCAGGGACGGGATGGAGGCCGGGTCATATAAGGTCACACTGCGCCATGCCGCGCCATACCGCATCCTATTGTGCCATACCGCGCCATACCGTGTCATACTCCGCTATACCGCGTCACGACGCGCCATACCACGTCACATTCCGTCATTCCTCGTCATACCGCGCCACATCGTGTCATTCCGCGCCATACCGCGTCATAACGCGTCATACCGCGTCATACCGTGTCATACTACGCCATACCGCGTCATAATGCGTCACACCGCGTCATACCACGCCGACCGCAGCACCGGGGCAGTGACCTGGCGCCTGAGTGACTCTCGGTGCCCTCCAATCTGAGTGGTGCCTGAACGACGGCCCCGCCGCCGTGTCATGACCTCTCCATAAAGAGGGTATGCACACACGCAGCTGTACAATATTTGTGATAGATACGTTATGTACACAGACAGCGGGAGGTACGAGCAAGTGTACCATTAAATCTTCCATCCTCCCGGTAGATCAGGCACTAAAGCACATTAAAGCACAAACGCAATCACACTTACAACTCCGCTCTACTCCCACTCCTTCTGCTCATCCACTTCACTCCACTCCCACTTCACACCACTCCCCGCTCCAACCCCTCCACTCTACACTCCCCTCCCACTTCACACCACTCCCGTTCCAACCCCTCCCCTCCACCCCACCCCACTCCACTCCCACTCCCACTCCCACTCCCACTCCCACTCCCACTGCCACTCCCACTCCACTCCCACTCCACTGCCCTGCCTCACCTGGGAACTTGAGCTGCACAGTCTGCAGGCGGCCGCAGTCGGCGCCGCTCTGGCGCTCATCGCCGGCGTACAGGATGGTGTGCGCTGGGATGCGGCAGTACGCCAGACGCTTCTTCCCGCTCAGCATCCAGATTATGATGTCCGGCATCGAGTTCTGCGGCTGCGGGAGGGAAGAGAGTGGCGTGAGCAGCGGGAGACAGAGACAGAGACAGAGACAGAGAGAGAGACAGAGAGAGAGACAGAGAGAGAGACAGAGAGAGAGACAGAGAGAGAGACAGAGAGAGAGACAGAGACAGAGACAGAGACAGAGACAGAGACGAGACAGAGACAGAGAGACAGAGACGAGACAGAGACAGAGACAGAGACAGAGACAGAGACAGAGACAGAGACAGAGAGCAGAGACAGAGACAGAGACAGAGACAGAGACAGAGACGAGACAGAGACAGAGACAGAGACAGAGACAGAGACAGAGACAGAGACAGAGAGCAGTACAGAGACAGAGGACGACAGAGAGACAGAGACAGACGACAAGAGGGGAGAGACATAGAGAGACAGAGAAGATCTCAGAGACGGATCGAGACAGAGACAGAATAGCAGAGAGAGAGATGAGAGGATGTAGAGAGAGAGGAGAGAGAAGGTAGAGAGAGAAGAGAATGAGAAGATAGGATGCAGAGAGAGAGAGAAGAGAGTAGAGCGAAGAGAAGAGAAAAGAGGAGGAAGACAACTTGCGTGAGCGACAAACCAGAGAGAACGGTGTGAGCCACGGAAGGGAGGGGGAGAGCGGCGTGTTTCGCGTGAGCAGGCGACAAGAGGAGGGCGAGGCTTGCGAGCGGCGTGAGCACTTGGCCAAGTGCCATCAGGCCAGGATCGGGCCGAGGCTGGTCACATCATGGTCAGGTCAGATTCCCGTCAGCCCACATAAACGCCAGGTCAGACCGGGCGCAGCCGGTCACATCATGGTCAGGTCAGAATCCGTCAGCCCACATCACGCCAGGTCACACCACCCGTGCCGTACCTCCACGGCCAGGTCGCGCAGAGTCGCGCCGTACTCCTCCAGCTGATCGGCCGCCTCCTCCAGGTCGGTGGCCGTTTCCCTCAGCTGCAGCACCCCCTGCGACGGCGGACAGACAGCGGTCAGACGGCGCAGGGCCGCTGGGAAGGCAGGCACAGACAGGACCTGGGGACGGGTCCCAGCCCCGGCACGGTCTCCCCTTCGCCAGAGGTGGGCATTAGGACTATAGGCAAATGTAAGGGAGCAGCGCGGTAAAGAAATGTAAGGGAAATGAACCCCGCGCCTTGCCACTCGCGCCTTTTAAGCGTTAACTACATAATTACGCAAGTTGTTCAGTGCATGTGCGAGAAACATTATTCACATGTATAGAACAGTAGTAATAGCCTTATTCCTCGCAGAAAAATCATGGAGATATAGTTGGGTTGATATTTTAGCAACATGCCTTTATCGAAACAACGGCAGAAGCAAATTCTGGTGAGTAACCATTTAGTTGTTATTGATGAATAGATGTGTGTACGCGCGTGTGGGTATACTTGGTGTGTTTTGTACGTTTGCCTTTGACGTATCCCCGTGTAATTGCCCATAATGCTGCCCTCTTCACATGTCCCACCTCTTAACTTCATCGACTCGACACTCGGAATAGCCATTTTATGTTGGAGTGCAGTGGTGTAAAACGTACAAGAGACTTAAAGTCCAGGAAACAAGCACATAAACCAGATGCATATACAAGTGGTACATACGGACCAAAGGATGGGGGGAGGGGGGTCGGGACCGAAGATTTTGTTGTTTGTTGGAGTTTAGGGGCGCGCCGACTGCGGTGGTCATTTGGCGCCCATAACGAGTTTGGTTTTACCTATCTAATGAGCCGCATAAATGGTCCCAAAGTTGATGTGTTTGAGAAACAAAAAGATCTGTTGAAATTCCAGAAATGGTGATTTATCTTCCAGCATATCACAGATGGTAAGGGGCAAGTCATGCTGTCCAAAATAGCGTTGGCGTTCTTCCGCGAGGCGCGGACAAGAAATAAGAATATGGCCAACGGTGAGGACGGCACCACATCGATGACAGATCGGTTTATCGGCTCCCTCCAACATATAGCCGTGGGTTGCGTATGTGTGCCCGATGCGCAATCTGCAGAGGATCACCTCCTCTCGCCGCATTTTCCGCGAACAAGAGAACCACTGACCTAGCTTAGGTTTTATCTCTCTGAGCTTATTACAATCCATCCGATCCCAACAACGCTGCCACTTGTTGTGCAGGAAGGCTTTTATTGCGGGGTAAAAGTCTCTGGCAGGAATAGAAAGAGAGTGAACACATGGAGCCAGCGCTGCTCGCCTAGCAGCCGCGTCAGCCAACTCGTTGCCCGCGATGCCGACATGACTAGGAACCCAACATAGCATGACTTTCTTTCCGGCCTCATCCAGATGAGTCAAACGTATTAAAATGTCCTGTATAAGGGGACATGACGGATAAAAAGACTTCACACTCAGAACGCTGCTCAGAGAGTCCGTCAAAATAAGATGCAAAGGTTCGTCACCGACTTCAATGAAACATAGTGCCTTAATGATTGCTATAAGCTCTGATGTAAACACCGAAGCGTTTGGGGGCAATGAAAACGACCGGGTGACGCCACCGCTCACAAACGCACAGCCTACACCATCAGAAGTTTTAGAGCCGTCCGTGTAAGTGTGTGTGTAGCCCTCATATAACGCAATACGCTCAAACGCTCTGGACCTCATTATATCTGGCAGCGAGACACCTTTTTTCATTTCAGTCAGAGATGTGTCTGTGAAGGGTGAGATCAAATGCCAGGGAGGAGTGCACAGGTGACGTGATCGCTTCACCTTTCGAATGGGAATTTCGGTTTCCCGCAGTAAGGCTTGTATCCGGGAGCCAAAGGTCACTGCATGCGCCCGAGGTGCATTGCGAACAAACGGCACAGCAGGCCGCGGAAAGACTGCGTGATATGCGGGGTGACACGGAAACTGTCGCAGCTTCAGTGCATAACGCATGCCAAGCATTTTCCTCCTCGCTGACAACGGCGGCTCGTGCGATTCTACCAAGAGGCTTTGGGTAGGAGATGTACGGAACGCCCCTGTGATGGCACGTAAAGCAGTGTGATGGATGGTGTCAATGATCCGTTTCGTGGACTCACATGCGCTGTCATAAATAAAACATGCATAGTCCAGCTTAGAGCGTATGATTGCCCGATACAGCAGCAAAAGCGTGCTCCGATCTCCGCCATACGACGTGCGCGAAACACATTTTAATACGTTCAAAGATTTAAAACAGCGTTCACGTAACGTTTTAAGATGTGCCTTATATGTAAGTCGGCGGTCAAAGTATACCCCAAGGTATCTAGCCACAGGCTCAGTTGGGATGCATTGTCCATACATACGGATAGAAAGGTCACCGCATTGCCGGCTACGACAAAAATGCATGGCTACAGTCTTGCTACGTGAAAACCTGAACCCGTTCATGGTACCCCACTTCTCAACGCGGTCAACAGCTAACTGGAGTTGGCGTTCCATCGATGGTGGTCTTGCTGCGCTAGTCCAAATGGTAAAATCATCAACAAAAAGCGCACGACCTACAGACTGCGGAAGCCCCATCCCGATGTCGTTGATCATAACGGCGAACAAAGCTACGCTGAGAACGCCGCCTTGGGGCACCCCATTAACTTGAACATGCCTTTCAGAGAGCGCGTCTCCAACACGGACACGGAAGGAACGGTCAACTAGAAAGTTTTGAAGAAAGGTCCCCATATTGCCGCGTATACCATACCTGTGTAGCTTGAGAAGGATGCCTTGACGCCATGTGGTGTCATAGGCGCCCTCTATGTCAAAGAACACTGCGCCTATGTGTCGGCTTGCTTTAAATCCCATACGAATCGCAGTGTCAAGAACTAAAAGATTGTCAACTGTGCTGCGATTCTTTCTAAAGCCACACTGGGCGTTTGTAAAAACGCCGTGGTGTTCTAAAAACTAAGTTAAACGGACATTAACCATCTTTTCCATCAACTTAGAGAGCGATGAAGTGAGAAAAATAGGTCTATAGTGTAAAGGATCCAGTCCACTTTTACCCGGTTTCAAAATAGGAACGACTATAGCTTCTCGCCAAGAGGCTGGAAAGTCCCCACTGGCCCAAAGCGCATTAAATACCGCTAATAAAACGCGAAGCACGCGACGCGGCAAATGCTTGAGCATGTCGTTGTGCACAGTGTCCGGGCCTTCTGACACGCTGCGAAGCTTGGCAATCGCCCAATCCAACTCGACTAGGGTGAATGGATCATTATGACAATGTAGCTCACTCGTTGAAAAATCCACTCCAGATTGCTCACATTGCGCTCGGTGCCGCACGAACTGTGGGTTAGTGTTGCCACCTTCGCTGCGGTAGGCCAGCGCCCGGGCAATCTCGTTCGCAACTTCCAAGGGGCGCGTCACGGCCTGTCCGTTCACACATAGTACCGGAAGAGCCATGGATGTAAAGTGCCCAGATATGCGCTTAATTCGAGACCATACCTGCGATGTTGGCGTGAACCGGTTCAACGTACTCACGTAAGCATGCCAGGACGCACGCTTCGCCTCTCTTACGGTGCGCCGAGCAAAAGCCCTCGCTTTCTTAAAGGCTATAAGGTTTTCTGTATTACTCCTGGCGTCAAAAGCCCGAAACGCACGTTTACGCGCCCGGATGGCGCTCCGACACTCCTCCGTCCACCACGGAACAGGAGTACGTCGGGGAGCGCCAGACGTGCGTGGGATAAAGCTGTTGGCACACTCTAAAAGTCTGTGAGTAAAAACCTCAATAGAGGGTACCGTCCTCACAGCCTCAGTTACGAACGATTCGTCGAGCCGAGTCTCAAATTCACACCAGTCCGCTTTCTTAAAATTCCAGCGTTGTGGCCGAACACCCAACGCTCCACCTCTCTTAAACCGGACCCACACTGGGAAGTGGTCGCTTCCCATGGGGTCATCTCCAACACTCCACTCGAGGTGTTGGATGAGCTGGGGACTGGAGAGGCTTAAGTCTAGTGCGGACGTCTGACCGGACGGCATTGTAAAATGCGTACGAGTTCCTGTGTTTAAAATACATAGTGAAGCACCGTGGATAAAATTCTCGCACAGCCTCCCACGAGCATTGGTGACGTCACACCCCCATGCGGTGTGATGTGCATTAAAATCGCCGAGAGGAAGAAGTGGTGGAGGCAGTTCAGCCAGCAGACACCTAAGGTGCGCCAACGGAAAAGCAATGCCTGGTGGAAGGTAAAGTGAGCAAACAGTGATGTGACGATGGTTGAAATAAAGCCGTACGGCCACAGCCTGAAGTGTGGACCGCAAGCTTAGCCTCCTCGCTGGCACGCTATGGTGAACTGCCAGGAGGACGCCACCGTGAGCAATGCTCTCCGTCAACACGTCGTTGCGAAACATCGCATATCCTTTCAGAGAGCAAAAATTGTCAGGCGCTAGCTTGGTTTCCTGCAGCGCCACGGCTGCAGGAGAGACTCTGCTGACGACAGCCTCGAGATCGAGGGCGTTCGCCCTTAATCCTCTACAGTTCCACTGTAAAAACGCCTGTAAAAGGGCGTATTAAAAAAGAGGTTAGATGTGAGAAGCTAAAACAATCCCGGCTTAAAAAAATTCGGCTGCACCAGTTGCATGTCCAGACGCCTCAGACCGAGAGCTTCGGCTTAATTCCGGGGGGCCGTGCCCCACCCTAGGACGAATCCTTGGGCTACCTCCGTCAGATGGAGATGGGGGGCCGGCTGGGGCACGCTTTACGCCAGCGTACCCAGCCCGGGGTGGAGGCGGGGGAGGGCCCATTGGTGGGCCTCTACCGGGGTTCGAGGCACCAGCGGGGGCCTCCACCGGCTTTCGTGGCGATGGAGTGCTGGTCCGGGGGACGGGCTCTTTGTCTGCACCGGACAGGCGGCTTGCCGCCTTAGCGCGCTCCAGTTCGGCCAAGCGTGCTCGCTTGGCCTCGCGGGCGCGCCTGTCAGCTTCCTGACGTTCCAGCGTCTCTGCCACACGCTCACAGGCACTGGCAAGAGGTGTCTGTGGCAAAGGGACCGATTGGGTCGCAGACAAAGGCAAGGCCGGCGGCGCGCGGGGACTCCGACCACGCCGAGCCGTCGTCCAACCGTCGCCCGCTGGTGATCCGGCGCGCGCTGAGGAGGCCAGCGGTGCGACGTCCACCGACTGCTCGATCGGCGGAGAGGGAGCTTGGGGTGCCGACTGGGAGTCGGGCGCTCGGACCGAGGGAACAACCGACAGGCCAAACGACCTCAGAAGTCCCACGAACTGAACGGCCGTCATGTGCTCGATGGCATTACTTTGTGGGAACGAAGTTTTCACTTTGGACGCATACGATGTTTTTGGATGACTGTCGTTGTAAAGTTCACGAGCTTCACGAAAAGAGACATTTCTAGAGGTTTTGATCGATATAATCTCTTTTTCTTTCGCGTAGGCCGGACATGTACGGTCGTATGTCGTGTGTGGGATTTGGTCCTTGCCGCAGTTCACGCAATGGGGTTCCGCAGAGGTGCAGGCTTCGCTCGTGTGCTCGAATGACGCACACTTACCACACGCTGGACGGTTACGACAGTGGAGCTTGGTGTGGCCGAATCGCTGGCACTGGTAGCACCGCATGGGGTTAGGCACATAAGGGCGAACCTTCACTCGAGCGTATCCAACACGTATCTCGGTAGGCAAATCGGTGGAACTAAACGTCAGAATGAGGTTGTTGGTGGGCAGCAGCTCTCCTCCCCGTCTGACGAGAATCCTGCGAGCGCTCGTCACACCAAACTCTGAGAGCTCCTCGACTATCTCGTCCTCGGCGACGTCACGAAGATCGAAACAATTGACTACGCCCCTGGACGAATTTTTGGTCTTATGTGGTATGGCTGATATTGACACGGTCTTTTCGTGCTTGCCAGTCTCGTCCCGAACGGTAAACGTAAATTCCTTGGCTGCCATGGCCCTGGTTGCCTCCAGACCGCTAGCGAACTCTACTTCTATTTTCCCATCCCGAAGCTTGTCACATCTTATAATTTTTCCAAACCTGTCGCAGCCGTTCCGCCTCTGAAACGGTGACAGGGAAGCCAATTTAATCTCTTCACTTCCGAAGATCAGGATCCGTGGACCGGAGGGCGCAGATTCCTCTCTGCACCCTGGGGCTATCGAGGTCCGTCCCCCTTTCGGAGGACGGGTGTTTTTAGTGTTAGAAGAAGCCATAAAAGGTGGTTTTCATTTCGGCACCGAGGCTCCCCACCCACCTCGGACCCCAACTGGGGGACGGCCCAACACTCCCTCGGGAGGTGGTCACCGTCAGGGCTACCCCGGTGCTATACGGGGCGAACGACGCCTCCCACACGGCCAGGTGTAACCGGGCGGACCCCTCCCCGTCCTGACCGTGGTTCAGCGCCGCCGCCCCTTGACCCCTTAAGCCGCTGCGCGCGGCCAGGCGTCCCAAGCGGAGACCCGCAAGGGGCACCCAACCGCAACGCGAGTGACAAGCCGCTAGACCCGTGTGGGGCCCCACGGGCCCCCACGCCCCCGGATATTCTGGCCAAAGTGGAGTGTTGGGGCGCGCCGTGACTGACCCGCACGACGCGCCCCTCAGCCACCAGGATCCGATCAACCCGGGGACGTGGGCGAGGGGGCACGGCGACCCCAATAAAACGAGGGTGGAGAGTGGTGATAGGGCCGGATGCGGGAGTGCGGGTAGTGTGGAGGGAGCGGGCGAGACAAGGAGTAGGAGCTCACGTACCGGCAGGGTCGCTACGCCCTGAGAGGACCAGCTTGCGCTGTCCACCCGTTACCGGAGCTGGGACCCGAGGGGGCGCTATTCCCCTACACCGACCGAAGCCGGTGCCCCTGCGGGGCGGGACCGAAGAGCGCTCCGATCGTCCGGACCGTTTCGTCACCCGCAGAGGCCGGTCATCACGCGCTTCCGTCCAAACCAAATAAACACCCACGACAGCGGCAGGTTGACTTCGGCGCCTCACGCCCACAACCGACCTTGATGATGTTGTCCAGCTTGGCGCGCCTCTGGCCGAACAGCAGGTTGTCCAGCAGGTTGGTGGACTGCACGTGCGGCTCCGGCGTCGGCAGCGGGATCCTACGGAGGACGCAGGCCGTCGGTCGGGGAGCCGGGCGACACTGCAGCAGCACAAACCCGCGCGCGACACCGGCAACTGGGTGGCTTAGTCTCAGCACCGACGGTCGATCCCAACGGTGGACGGTGGGAGGATGGCGGACAAACGGTGAACACTGGACAGTGGACAGCGGGCGGACGGTGGACTGTGGGTGGACAGTGGAGGGACGGTGGACGGACGGTGGAAGGTGGACGATGGACGATGGACGGTGGACGATGGACGGTGGACAGACGGGAGCCACCACAAGACCTGCGGTCACTATCACCGACATCGTTCGCTCCCCCCCCCCCCCCTCAACTCATCACTACACAACTGCATCGCCACAGACAACCTTGGAGGCGGCCGCGCACCGCCGACTGCGCAGCAGCTAGTCATTACGAGGCACGACGCTACAGACGCGTGCTCTGGTACCGGCAGTTGCGGAGCAGCTGGTCGCAGACGCCGACAAACTCGGCGGCCAGCTCCTCGGCCCCCTTCGCCGCCTGGATGCTGGTCCGGAGTGCCGCCAAACTCCGCTTCAGCGTCTCCACTGTCTGGGGAGCCGGACAGACAACGGTCACCACCAGACAGCGATCACCAATGGACAGCGGTCGCCGCCGGACAACGGTCACTACCGGACAGCCGTCACTACCAGACAGCGGTCACCGCCGGACATCGGTCACCATCCAGCGATGGTCACCACCGGACATCCGACACCACCGGACACCATCTTACACAGGACGCCAGTTTGTGACCGGTGGTTCCCGGTTCCCATCAGCCCCCCCATCCCCCCCCCCGCCAGACGTAGCCAAGCGAGCGCATGACAAACGCCGAAATATCCGGCTGCGAAGTAGTCTGTGCAATTCACCGGAGATTAGCAACGCGCAGGAAATATTTACAGACAGGGAGACCGTTTTCTGCACCGCGTCGTCCAGCATAACTCTAACTGACAAAGTCGGGCCTTCGCTAACGCACTGACAACGCCAGACCTTCGCTAACCTAAGTCCCTAGTTAACGGTGACACGGACAATGACACAATCTGACAGAAACGAATCGGCTCGGAAATTATCGGCGCGCTTTGCGTCTGGACCAAGCGGGCGAAACGAGTCTGTTTAGACATCAATGACCGGACGGCTTGAAGGCCGGGAGCTGACAACAACAGGCGTCTACTGTCCGTTACTGAACCCCAAGTTAGCCGGAAACGAAGGTCCCGTGGGTGGTGAGCGCTATCTTCGCCAAGCTGGTTTGTGTGACCACAAGCATCGCTCGTGGCAGCAGGATTTGTGCCCTGCGCGTTCAGGTCACGCCATCGGTCAAGCGCAGCCTACGCCAAGTGATATCAACCGTCAGCAGTGTATGTCACGTGACACCCACCATCAGCAGTCCCCGTCACGTGACACCCACCATCAGCAGCCTACGTCACGCGCCGCCCACCATCAGCAGCCCACGTCACGCGCCGCCCACCACCAGCAGCAGCCTACGCTACGCGCCACCAACCATCAGCAGCCCACGTCACGTGACACCCACCATCAGCAGCCTACGTCACGCGGCACCCACCATCAGCAGCATGTTGAGCGTGTGCAGACGGTGCGAGATGTCCTCCCATTGGCAGTGGACCGTGACGCAAGGCTTGGCGCCGCTCCACGGCAAAAAGTAGTACCTGAGGGCGAGCGCGGCCCAGTCAGACCGGCGGACGGGGAGCGTCGATGCCAAGCTCGGCACGCGCAGCGAGCGGTCGTCCTCTCCGCTCCTCTCCGGCGATGTGTGCAGACGGAGTGCTGCGATGTGTGCAGACGGAGTGCGACGCCGCGCGCAGATTTATCGCCGGCACCCGCGCGCTCGGTACTCACATGCAACCGTCGAACACGGCGTTGGTGGGCTGCGTGAAGGAGGGGCTGGGCATCACCGAGTCCTCAAACTTGTTGCCGTAGTTGCCCATGGACACTTCGAACTCCACCGGCTTGTCTACCTGAAACCGGAGCGGTGGAGACTCGTCAGCCGCGTCCGGTGGTCCGGCCAGCAGCTCAGGGTCGGCCAACACAGACGGCTCGTGACATGGCAAGGTATGCCGCTGCTATAAAACGGCTCAATGAATACGTCAGTATGTGCAAATGACGTATGCCGCTGGGATACCGCCCGGCGCGTCGTCCAAAACTAACCAGCAAACTACGATCGAAAATCGCTCGGTTCCTATACCCAACAGCTGTCGAGAGCGGCTCTTCAGGTCACCGGCTGAGGTCACCGACTGAGGTCACCGGCTGAGGTCACTGGCTGCCGGTGACCACTGCAGATGAAGGACTGCGTGGGGAGAGAGAGCACCGACAGAGGGGGACGAAGCGGGAGAGAGAGCGGGGGAGAGAGCAGCAGGTCAGCGTGCCACGCTTGACACAGCCGGACTTCTCAGCTGGCCCCCACCCACCTCCGACACCATGGTGGCGTCCTCGAAGGCGCAGTGGACCAGGTACTTCCTCCGGCGCAGGAACGACTGCGGCAGGGCAACAGGTGCAGGGTCACGGGGTCAAACAATGGGTCACCGGGCCAAGCAATGGGTCACGGGGTCAAGCGCCGCGGTCAGGGGTCAGGTCCCGGCTGATCGTTGGCGGTTGCGCTAGTGCAAATGGCGGGGGGGGGGGGGAGATGTGCAGGCAGTGGAAGCGATGACTACCATTCACATTTTGCAACTGATTTCTAATCACTATATTGCGAAACATCGCGTTCAGAAAACGAGATTTATTTTGACACTATTCTGTACCAGCAGCCCAGTGGAAACGGTGTCTGACCGCGACCTGCCACGCCCAAATAAATGCACCAGGTTCTGGGATGAATAGAAGTTCTGGCAGTCAAAGCGACCTGGAGATCTGCTAACCACCTTATCGCTGGGTCAACTTCATCCGAGTGCGACATGAGTGTACGAAGATCAGAGGAGGGCCCGACTTCCGCATCATCTCGAGGCTTTCAAATGTCATCGCCAGCCAACGCAGCAAGTGGGTACGCATTTTAAGTTTGTGGGCCACAACTGACACGCCGGGTTCAAGCCCGCCAACGGCGTCAGCTCAAGGCGCCCGGTCGAGGCCGGCCCGTTGTGAACTGTGGCCCACATACTCGCCCCTGGTGCAGAATGCAAAACAGGTAAGCTCGGCGCACCGGTGCAGGACAAGATGACGTCAGACTGTTAGAAGAGAGACACTGCTCTTGACAACGTTAACTATCGCATCGACAGAACTCCGCCATTCCAATCTGCCCCCCCCCCCCCCCTCCTCCCCCCCCCCCGGCACCGCAGCTCCCAATAACACCACCGTTTCACTGTCTCGTTCACGAAACCACGACACACAACACTCTGACAAGTCCAAACTAAGGTGACTGTCCTCCGGCCGCCACTCCCGCCGCGCCGCCACTTCTGCCCCTGCCCCCCCCCCCCCCCCCACGCGCCGGCACGCGCCGCCACTCACGTCGATCTTGAGTCCGTCCTCGAAGTCGATGGGCTCCGACGCCACGTTGGGAAACTCGCCCACGGTGGTGCGCAGCGCCACCAGACAGCGGCCGCGGTACGCGCAGCCCTCGCCCTCGCCTGTCGACACCGGCGCCGCCGTACAGCGCACCGCGGACGCACGAGGTGGGCGGTCTCTGTGTGCAGACGCTCGTCTGGCGCCGGTGTGGGCGCATGCACTGCATGCTGCATCGCTTGGTACATGCGCACCAGCTATGGGACACTGTGGTACAGGATCTTTGGGGAACGACGGTGCAGGATCTGTGGGACACTATGGCACAGGACCTAATGGACCCTAATGGTGCACTTTGATAGAGAATCTATGGGACACTATGGTACAGGATTTTTGAGACACTTCGGCACAGGATCTATGGGTCACTATGGTACGGGATCTGTGGGACACTAGGATACATGAACTAGGGGACCCTAATGGTACGAGACCTATGGTACACTATGACACAGGATCTATGAGACACTATGGTACAGGATGTGTGGGACACTATGGTACACGATTTGTGGGGCACTACGGTGCAAGATCTATGAGACACTACGGTCAACATCTATGGTAAATGTGCACGAGCTATGGACAAGAGCACGGGCAAGACACACGAATTCCTTCACTCAGTATGATAGCAAGCCGCATTGCTCGACATGGTAACTCCAAATGCAAGGTGAAGTGCGTTACAGTTCATTACCAAATCCGAACTTCTGTACCATGGCGATCCTCTTCACGGTTGTCAAGTATTCACTCAGACAGTGAGCGCACGGAAACAACCAATCGGCTATGCCAAACTCACACCAGTGGTATGTGGCGGGGGGGGGGGGGGGGGGCACTTGAGACCTGACGCTTGTCAAACGGCACAGTGCTCCAGCGCATGCTCAGATCCCTTCTCAGCCCCCCCCCCCCCTACCTCTCCCACTCCTGTCAAGGGCCAAGCCCAATGTCCTTCACCAGCCGATCCCCGGTCCCCGCTCCCGCTCCTGGCCCCTGGTCCCTGGTCCCCGGTCCTGGTTCCGGTCCCGGCCCCGGTTCCAGTTCCGGTCCCCGGTCCCGGTCCCGGTCCCGGTCCCGGCCCCGGCTCCGGTCCCGAGTCCTTGGTCCTTCGTCCCTGGTCCCTGGTCCCCGGTCCCGTCCCTGCCGCCTTCTCACCCTCGTCGAGCGTCTCCTGGTCGTCCTTGCCGAAGATGCTGAACTCGCGCGTGCTGCCGTAGAAGTTGACGAAGCAGGGGCCGAACGTGGGCAGGAAGCCGTCCTCGCCGGCCACGCTGATCGACGGCAGCGGGATGAACGTCGTGCCGATCAGGTCACTGTCTGACACTCGGTCCCTGGCGGAGGTCACAGAGGTCACGGGCTGACTTCCGACCGCTGAAGAGGCGGCAGGGGTCACTGTCCGACACCCGGTCCCTGACGGAGGTCACAGAGGTCACTGGCTAACCCACGACCGCTGAAGTTCCTGCTCGAAACCCGGCCCTTGGTGGAGGTCACAGAGGTCACTGGCTGACCTACGACCGTTGAAGAGGCCGCAGAGGTCAGTGTCCGATACCCGGTCATTGGTGGAGGTCACAGAGATTACGAGCTAACCTCGACCTCTGGGGAGGCCGGGGGAGTCACTGTTTGACACTCGGTCCCCGGTGAAGGTCACAGAGGTCACTGGCCGACCTCCGACCGCTGAAGAGGCCGCAGGGGTCACTGTCCCACACCCGGACCTTGGCGAAGGTCACATACGTCACAGGCTGATTTCCGACCACTAGAGCCCGCAGGGGTCGCCTCCCGACACCCAGGCCCTGGCGGAGACACCGCGCCAGACGACTCCCGGTTGGGAAGCGCGCTCAGCCTCCAGTTCAGAAAGTCTCACCAGTCCTTCAGCAAGAGCTTCAGCTTGTTGGCGAAGGCAGGGAACTGGAAGCCCAGGTGCAGGCGCTGCTTGAAGTCCGGATGGTCCGTGCTGTACACGACCTGCAACACGGCAATTGCAGCACTGCAACCGGCGGCACTGCCACCCTGGTCCCAGCGTCATACACCTCAGGTTTGACATCACTCCTGGCAGACGTTTTGCGCATCGAAGACGAGCCGTAGCAGTCGACACGGCCGACGTCAGGCGAAACCTCACGGCGCAACGTCTGAGGGACCGCACAAACCAGCCGAGGACCCGCTGTCCTTCTGAGACTGACTGGGAAATGGCCCGACATGGATAGGGTCTCTGCTCTGACGCCGATAGCAGCGTGCATGGGTCCTTCCGAACTGGCAGGTAGGCCGGCATGGCTAGTGTAACATGCGGTGAGCTAAGGAACTCGTTTATACTGATTTTGACAAACCGTCCTCAAAAAGGCAACAGACAGCCTGGAATAAATGCACAAACGTGAATCCTAAACAAAACTTGTTCTCGCTCGTAACGGACAAAATGAAAATCTCAGCGCACAGGTACGCCACTCAGCGCATCCATCTGTCCTGGGATACTAATGACCGCGACAATGGAGATCAAGGACTTTAAAATTGCCAGGTAGTCATCCACTGCCATCACCACGGCACATGCGCGGTATAGTGACGCCGCGCACGCTCAAGCCGGGAACAGTTACATCGGAATACAACCTGCGCGAAAAGCATGCCGACTGATAACCGTTGCTTGGCAACTTGGCTGGCACCGTGGCAGTTTCTTGTGGCGTCAATGACGTCGTTTTGTGCCCTCCTTGCACGAGCAACCAGCACATACATTTGATAGCGACGTCTCAGGCCTGAGGCGGAGACGATAGACATATCAGATGGAGATGATACGTCTGATGTCATCGGCAAGAAGCCCACTCCCCGTGTCTCACCGGCGTCTGCACTTCCTTCCCGGCGAAGCAGAAGACGAAGTAGGGATCGACCAGCTGCTTGCTGGATACGCTACCAAAACCCAGCACTTTCTTGACCGTACTCAGCGCTCCAGTGTCCACTGTAGCGAAAGGCCGGGGGTGAGCAGGCGGAAATGGCACCATTTCTGAACGAAATATACACAAGCACAACACTTTCGACCAACAGTCGCCATTGAAACCCGGAGCTAGCTTAGAAAGACAACACCAATTTCCCGCCAGAGGCGAAATACCAACACGACAGAAAAGGCAGCCCGCTGATTATAAACGACCTTGTTTTTTAAGACCCATGTAGTTGGCAGACATTTCCATTCTAGCGGCCGCACCAGTGTCAACTCGACATACCACCTGGGATCAGAACTAGTACACTCTTCGACTACGGGGAAGAAGCACGTCGAAGGTAGTACACACAGTGACACAGTGCACTAATAGCATCCACTAGACAATGCGCAATGGGTGCGATTAAAAAGTCCGCGCGCTCCGCGTTCTGGACGAATGTCCTCAGCGTTCTCACGTTTATGATGCTTGACACGCATACACCCCTCCTTAATCTTCCTGTCTGCGCCCCTACCCCTCCCCCTCCTCGTCCTGCTGGCGACGCCTCTGGCCGGCTCGTGACTCACTCCGCGGCAGGTCCTCCGCTTGGTAGACGCTCAGGTGGAAGCCGGCCGGCGCCAGCCTCAGACCGGCGGGGAATAGCAGGTTCTGCTCCACGTCCTCCTGCTCGGCGTTCCCCGGAGGCTTCAGGTTCGGACACTCATCGTTCGGTCCCATGATGGCGATGCTGACCTTCAGGTAGCCTGGCGACGGTCGAGCGAGGCGTCAGGAACAGCGGCGCTTCACGTGGTTCTGCTCCTCGACATATACTAACCACTACGCGTCTGGGAATGCTGAGATATGCGGTTTAACTCTCCGCAGTGTCCACCCTTCCTGACAGGGTGGGAAGCAGGCGACGCCATATAGCCTCAGCAGCTGAGTGCGTCGTAAAGCGCCAATAACCCGTGCTCCTTGACAAAGCCCGGCTTGGTCGGCTGACAATGTCAGCAGCGGTGGGAGCCCTCGCGTCCCACCGATCTTCACAACCCGCTGCGATTTTGAACTTCTGGTGGTCAGGCACGTGGAATATGAAGCTCGAAGAGAGCTGCCCTGCCCTGCCCCGCGCTGCGCTGCGCGCGCTGTGCTGTGCTGTACTGCGCTGCGCTGTGCTACGCTGCGTTGTGCTGTGCTGTGCTGTGCTGTGCTGTGCTGTGCTGTGCTGTGCTGTGCTGTGCTGTGCTATCACGTGCTGGTCTGGTCTAGTCTGGTCTGATGAAGCGGAACTACGAACTTACGCATTTCTAAATTGCGTCCCACATACTTGTAAAGAGGGAACAAGTCGATTCGGCTCGCGTTTCCAACCTGACTTAATTGCTTATTAGGACGTGTTGGTAAGAATAAGTTGCTTTTGGGCTGTGATGCAGCGCGATGCACATCTAAAGATCCGTGGATTACGACCACAGAGCGTAGATTGGCAGCTTCACTTCATGAAAATGGTCCATGTGGCTACCACATCCCAGCGCGTCTGTACCGAAAATGCGTGGTCTGACCCCGCTCCACCCCCCACCCCCCCCCCCCCCACACCAAGGTCAGGTGAATGGCAAGGACGTGAAAGTTCAGCCAGGGGTGGTCACCACCGCCCACCGAGCTCCATCCGCGACCGCTCAAGTCAATGAGTCGTCTTCAGATCAAAACTCGTGCGCCCGCACGGCCGCCTTCAGATCAAAACTTGTGCACCCACACGGCTCGGCATGGAAGCCTATTGTCCAAACTGTTGTCGGATTCCTCCCGACTGCGGAAAACGGGGCGGGGCTGTGTCGCCAGCCACGCCTTAGTATACGACATTATGAGGCGGCCACTAAAGCTTGTCCTTGCGTCTCAACCGTCTTGGACCGTTGGTGTCCGAGCAATCATGTCCGAACTGTCCGTTCACGGTGTCCGAAGTGACCGTTGGTGTCCGGGCAATCGTGTCCGAAGTGTCCGTTCACGGTGTCCGAAGTGACTATTCGTGCCCGGGAAATCGTGTCCGAAGTATCCGTTCACGGTGTCCGAAGTGACTATTCGTGCCCGGGAAATCGTGTCCGATGTGAGGAAGCTACGCCTTCAAGTCGGGTCTCCACGCAAAGAGTGGCAGGCCCTTGTGCAGCGGCTGTCTGTGAGGAATTTGCATTGGACTGAACCAAACTACAACACTACACACTCAGCCCAGACTGCATTTCATACTCATCGTCAAATTAATCACGTGCCATGATTTTGTTAGCGACCCACCACTCCAGGTTTCGTCGCCTTCAACTATTCCCCTCAGCCGATTCGCTATTGCGTTATGACACACACAGAACCGCCGGCCCAGCCTGTCCACATGTCGCTCTACACATCAGACCATCCTCCTCGCTCCTTCAGCGCCTGATCAAAACAAAGTCAGCTTGGCTAGCGGTCATCTCATGACTTCATCAGCAACACACTCATTACTCCGTCAGACGCTCACGAACGACCCAAGGCACACGTCATACATGACTCCATCAGAACGTTGTTCGTGACTCTCGGCGACTCTTCAGCAACTCCTTTATTAGCTCTCGAAACAGGACTCCCACGGAGACTTGCCCCTGACATAATCGCTGAGTCACCCGTGCCTCCATCTGTGACTCCACCAGACTCCATCGGCGACTCAACAGGGCTCGATCGGTGGCTGAACATGACTCCATCGGAAACATCACATGACTCCGTTGGCGACTATCCAGGACTCCGCCGGTGACCTATCGTGACTCCTCCGATGACTCCCCTTGGCTCCGCCAGCAACTCACCCATGACTCCGCCGGCATCCTCGTCGAGTGCGGTGAGCGCCAGCCACTTGTTGACGAAGGCGTGCAGCGGCTGGTCATACACGGTGCCCAGGTCCAGCTTGAACACGCCCAGCACCACCTTGGAGCGCAGCATACGAGAGTTGCACACCTGGCGGGGAGCACGGTTACCTGGTCAGCCGGTCACCTGGACACCCGGCCACCCGGTCACCTGGACACCCGGTCACCTGGTCACCTGGACACCCAATTTCCGGTCACCTAGTCACTAGGTCACCTGGTCACCTAGTCACCGCTCACCTGGTCGCCTTGTCGCTACTCACCTGGTCACCTAACCACTTGGTCACCACTCGACGGTCACCTGGTCGCCTTGTCGCTACTCACCTGGTCACCTAACCACTTGGTCACCACTCGACGGTCACCTGGTCACCGCTCACCTGGTCACCTCTCACCTAGTCGCCTCGTCACCGCTCACCTGGTCACCTAACCACTTGGTCACCACTCGACGGCCACCTGGTCACCGCTCACTTGGTCACCTCTCACCTAGTCGCCTCGTCACCGCTCACCTGGTCACCTAATCACTTGGTCACCACTCGACTGGTCACCTGGTCGCCGCTCAGCTGGTCACCTGGTCACCTGGTCACCCGATTACTGGTGAACCGGTAACGCAGTGATCCGGTAACGCGGTTGCCCGGTTCCCCCGGTCACCCAGTCGCCGGCCGACCGAGAGACGGCATCCGTATGGGTCAGTCCTGTGGCGAGCCGGTACGCTCGGAAACCGCCGCGAGCAGCGAAATCACTTCAGACCTGGCGTGATGGTGATGATGGCGCAGGTCCGTGATAATTAGATGTCGTACAGTAGCAGTCCATCGAAGCTGACCACCTCCCTTCAACCCTGCATGGTGTCCTGCTGCGTGGCTGGTGCTATCCCGCGGGGTGCGTACATTATCGGCACGTTAGCGCCAACCACTCGGGACGGCGCAAAACGAAACGTTGACCAAAACCCTCAGCTTATTTTGGCGGCAAACTGGGCCGAAAATACTTCCATTCCAAACACTTGCGTGACAGTGTCAATCTGTGAGCACCACAGTGGCCTTCGACAAGTAGACTCTCTGGGCCCAATAATTAAATGCATTGATGAATTGCAATGCGTTATAACAGTTATGATCGTATGAGTTCCATGCGTCAGGAAATCAAAGCACCAAGCTACCTCTTTGGGTGAATTAAGTTATACAGTTCTGCTAGACTTCGGCGAGGCAATGGGCATCAAACTATCCTGTCATAACAAAAACTGGCTGAACATATAGGGCCCAACCAGCCAGGGGCAACCAGCCCCCATCACTCACAGACAATTCATGACCAACGCTAAAAAACCCCACAATTTTAACATATTTTTCCGGCTCACCCCGTCAGCCTCGGCTGGGTCTCGAGCAACGTCTAGCGTGATCTGACCTAGCTAAGCGTGACCTCTGACATTAAACAAACAGATCCTGCACACACGGAAACCGTCCTGACCGCGCAGATTACGCCGTTAAAGGCCAGCAATCATTACGCCGTTAAAGGTCAGCAATCTGAAGAATCAACAGCAGCCCGACAAGCACGATACCAACATCCGGCTGGAGTCCGGCAGTGACCTGCTACATCTTGAGACCAGGGCCGCGCAAGGAAACACGACACTGATCCTCATAGGTAAACACAGGCATCATTCCAAACGATCCGCTCCCGACGTGGCACTTACACATGACGAGCCATTTATCATTAAAATGCAGCCGCTATTAAAAACACATCAATAACCAGCGGACTCAGAACATAAGGCTCGGACCAAACAATGCACAGCACTATGCGGAGTCTTAACAGTGCCCACCCGCCCCACAGAGGACGCTGCTAAAGCGTGCCCGTGGGCCATCGGGCCCACGAGCACGCGCCGTACGACCATGCTCCTCTTGACCTCCCACATCACCAGCGCTCACCCTGAACTCCACCGGCGTGTCCCACACCTCCGACGGCAACTTCTTCATGTAGAAGAAGAAGATCTCGTCGTACCAGGGGTTGCAGGTGGCCTTCTGGACGCGCGTCGATTTGCCGTCGTTTCCCAGCGATACGCGGCAGGTGGGGTTCAGGTCGGAGCCGATCAGACCGCGCCCCTCCACCACCTTCACACGCACCTGTCGAGGGGAGGGGGGAGGGGGGCTGAACAGTCGGCTTCACACACGGTCCTCGGGACAAGGCCATTCGTGATCACAAAATGGCCACCACGGACGCGATTCTCGCACCACATAACACGTAAACCAAACATGAGCAGCGGGCTACATCTTTAATGGCTGCAAGGAACATCAGACAAACATGACCACATCACCAAACGTTTCATGTTGGTTTCACTTGTGAAGCTACATGCTCACACGCTTCCTTGCGGCGGACACGACTGGCAAGTTTATATTCCAGTATAACATGTATATCCCAATATCCCAGTATACATGCGCATTTTAGTACACAATGGATTACATTAAATTCCGGTACAGGTACGCATATTTCGGCCTTCCAGCCAGAGACTCCAGCTTTTATATACTTGTATCTCAAACGTCATACATGCCCCAGAAAGACACTAATCTGACATGCATATCTTAGCTCACTACAGCCCAACTGCTTCAAACAGCCGCCACGCTGAGTCGAGCCTTCGCACTAGCGTACGCGTTCGCGTTCGCCTTCGCGTTCGTGCGCGCGCTCGCGTTCGCGTTCGCGCGCGCACCATACCTGGAACTTGGTTTCCTTGTTGGGAAGCAGGTCCCGGTACCTGGGCCCCGCCCCGAGGTGTTCCAACGCGGCGCTGTACTCGGCGCCTTGGCCCATGACAATGTCACCGCTAGATGTCGTCTGGATCGCCTCGTAACTCCCCACCGCTGCCGAGCCGAGTCACAAGTTACCAAAGTCGCCAACAAGTGGAGACAGAGTCGGTGATCGCTTTCTGTGCGCTTGTAGTTTCGGGACATTTATTTTCATGTTTTGTTTTGTCAATGATTGCAAATTTCGCATAATCATCCATAAAGGCAACACAAACTCCATGTAGGCAACAAAAACGGGGCTTGTGTGGCGAATTACTTACATGCTACAGCCCATCTTTATGAGTGTGATTACCGGCCAGGTCTTCTACGGCCTGGACTGGGGACTCAAAAAGTAAACCTGATCGCGGCGCGTTGCTATTTTCAAGACGCTTTAACGGAGGACAAAGCATACGGACACGCATGCTTTGGCACGTATGCACGCATACTCATCCGTAGGCTCCCTCGAAGAAGCTGTTATGTTCAACACCCGATTCTAGACTCCAACCCTTTCAAGATTCTAGCACTGGATTCTCCCACGCCGAATGTCACGACCGGAAACCGGAATTTACTAGCAGCAATCCTTCTACAGTACATCTACGGAGTTCAAGTACACAGCAAATACGTTGGCGCACGGCAAACACGGCGAAGAATAGAGTTGACACACGGCAAAAAGCTTTGAGCGGCATCGGAACTCCAGGGGCGGTGGTGGCCGCCGCCACAAAGGCCGCGCCCGTGTTTGCAGTATCCACAGCCCGGTTCCGGGGGTGGCTGTTTCACCGTCATGTTTATTGTGACACCCGCAGGTCCCAAGGCAACGCCGGTGACTGGCGGACGGGCCAGAAACGGGCCGCGTCACAGACGTCACACACGTTCCCCCTCGTCACACAGCCATCCCAGCCATACGCGTTCTCACTCGTCAAGGCGCCCTTCCTCTTGTCACACGGCCACACCAGCCATAAGGCGTGATCTTTTGCCATGGTGCCCTCCCTCTCGTCACATAGCCATCCCAGCCATAGGCGTGATCTTTTGCCGTGGTGCCCTCCCTCTCGTCACATAGCCATCCCTGCCATAGGCGTGATCGCTTGCCAGAGCGCCCTCCCCCTGGAGTGCAGAGTGGCTTTAGTTTCGTCTTTAGCATGGCTCCCGCCAGTAGTCCCTTGACAATAGTTCGTCGCCTGGCTGCTGTCCTGAACTGGCTCTTTCCATCAGCCTCTAGGCTGGCTGTAAACATATATTTTAGCATACGTAGCTTCGCGTCGCTAACTCCCATCATCTTCCGTATCTTCCCCACGAGTCCAAGCGCTTCCTTGCCTTCCCCTTCTCCGCGTTTCATAAAACGACTTTTCTACATATTCCTCCAGCGGCCGAACCCACCCCCCAGCTGGCGCTGTTGGCGTTGCTCGCACCTTCTGCGTGTCCCCGTTCCATTTTCACCTCGAGTTTATCTCCTAGTATCTCGACCATCCCTCCCCGGTCTGTCTCAAACCCCTCACATTGTATCGCATCACATTCCCGCACCATCCCCGCGAATTCCTCCCATCCCGTACCTTCCACCTCACCACCTCACCCTCCACCCTCACCTCTCAACCCCACACCCTCCCACCTTACTCACCCCCTCCCCCTCCCACCCCTCACCTCTCGTGCCACCAGCCACGTTGGTCCCCGACTTGCTGCCGGCCGCGCCGGCGGCTGGGCCAGCCGCCGGCGCCGCCACCTTGGGCGGCGTGTACTCCATGCGCACGCGCAGCATGCCCGTAGTGGGGCGCTGGTCGTGATCCACCAGCTGCAGCTCCAGGTCCTGCGGGCCTTGGCCGCTCATGAGGTTGCGCAGCAGGATCGTAGTCTTGCCCAGCAGTCTGCCGGCCGAGCCGCGGCGGCGGGTCAGGCGAGCGGTAGGTCACGCCAGAGGTCGACAGATCCGGTCAAAAGTAGACAGGTCAGGTCACAGACCGTGAGGTCAGGTCAGAACTCGACAGGTCGGGTCAGAGGTCACCATGTCAGGCCAGAGGTGGACAGGTCAGGTCAGAGGTCGACAGGTCAGGTCAGAGGTCGACAGGTCAGGTCAGAGGTCGACAGGTCGTGTTGAGGATTCACGCCGTCGTACAGGACCAGGAATGGTGGGATGTCATGTAATGGTAAGAGGCTAGATAATTGTGAGAGGTCATGTAATAGTCAGAGAAATGGTAAGCGGTCAGGTATCCGTGGGAGTAAACTGATGCTGACAGAGCACACTGACACAAGCGGTTGTCCGTGGTCAATGTAATGAAACTGAATGCAGTTAAAACGGAATGTAACATACTATAACGCAATGGTGAAAAGCCAGAGGCGAAGATAGCCTATTGACAAGCACAATAACTTTGTTCACAATTCGCACTTGCAAACGCTGCTAGGCCATGGCAACCGCAGCCCTGTGGGCCTGTCGGGTTGAAAATGATGAAAATGAAAATCTGCGGCCAGGCCACGCCGTCTGCTGCCGGTCGGTGTGCCGCGATCGTCGTGGACGACTCGCCAAGGGGAGTCGTCAGCTGGGCGCTCAACGCCGATGTTAGTATATACTACAGAAGTATGTACTATATATACAATAGAAGTACGTGGCGAATAACAATTGTCAGCCCTCGTTATGCTGGGGAATACTGGTGAACGTATTGTTTCAACTAATATTTAAACATTTATACTAGTATTATATCAAAATGACTTGAATTTTCGATCAGAATGATTTCTGGTAACCGCGTACCTACGGCAATATCATCGACATAACCAACGCACAAACGTCACGCAACCCGAACCCGCGCTTACCACCTTGGAAACATCTGTCACGGCCGACGTGACCTTCCACCCCTACCCCCGCGGCAGCAGCAGTCGCACCTGTTGCGGCCGATATGGTCGTAGTCCTTCACCAGCATCTCCAGCTTCTCCTCAGCCGACGGCGCCTTGCCGGTGAGCTCCCATTCCAGCTTCTCGTTCCACTCCGGGTTCAGCTCGCCCTTCTTCACCGTCGTCTTCCGCTTGACGCCTGACGCGCGGAAGGGGGTCGGAGGTCAGTGACATGTCCATGGATATGTCCTGGGAGGAACGCGACGTCGAACGGGATCAAGCGTGTGACGCGCTCTGGGAAACCAGTCATTTCGGGGGCTGCAAAATGACTACGCAATGTACTGCGCACATGTACAAAGTACATTTAACGCCATGCACCATGCACAAAATGCATCACGTCAGTGCATGTACGGGCGCTCCCATGAAGTTCCGATGCAGGTCTGAGGATTCGACACGGACAGACGTTTGAGTTCGGATATTGTCTGATGTCGGGATCTTCAGCCTGCATCGACTTCATCAAGGCCTACAAACTGCGTCCAAGGTAGGTCGGAGGGCTCCACAGCTATTAACAGTGATCTTTGAGCAAAAAGAGCTTCCAGCGATTATCTCTGAAAGGAGACATCAGAATCTCTGATCGAAAAAGAGCGATCAGTAATGATATCTGATCGAAAGAGCTTTCAATCATGATCTCTGAACAACACAAGAGCCACCAGTAATTATCTCTGATCGAAAAGAGCTCTCAGTAATGATTCCCGAACAAAAAACTATCAGTAAAGATATATGGTCAAAAACAGCTGTAAGTAATAATCTTTGACCGAAAAGAGCAATCAGCTATGATCAATGGCCGAAAAAGATCTATCAGCAGTGATATGCATCGAAAGAGAGCATCAGTAATGATCCCTGATCGAAAAAGAGCTATCGGCAGCGATCTTTACTCGAAAAACGAGCTCATGGTGCGTTGGCATGCCTTCCTCGTGCGAAGATCGGTCCTCGCCTCTGGCGACTATGACACCACTCTTCTCGAGCCCCACTCCGTGCTCCATTTGGCCCGGCGCCGGTGACGTATTAACAACAACAAAACACTAGGAACGACGCCACCTAAGCGTGACACTCTGTTGAAGTGTTGTTCGTGTTGGTAGCATGGTTACAGTCAATGCCATCGACGACGATTGATCTCGGTTGCGCTGAAACTTTCAATCTGTCTGCCATGTCGGTGGCATGCCTCGACCAATGCTGCACGAAGAATGCTCGAACAAGCTAAGCCCTTGACATCTCTGGAGGGTTTAGCCATAAACCCTAAACTCTCGACCACTGCAGCAAATGAATCCCTCACGCTGCTAGCGTAGATGCTTCGCGAAAGGGCAACTGCGGCCCGTTGCTTCGCCCCATGCTCCACCCCTGCATTCACATACAGCTCGGCAGACTAGCGCCCGCCAGTGCAGTGCAAAGCCCCCACCCCCCCCCCCCCCCCCCCCGCCAGCACAGCCATGGCCCCAGAATCAAAACACAGCTCGCCCCAGCGAGAGCGCCGGGCTATTGTGTTGCCGTCGCATTCCGGCCACGTCGTCAGCTGGCCAGACCGTGGCAGCCGTCCTGCGCGGCGGGCGGGGGATGGGGGCAGGGCCAGGGGCGGTCAGTGACCGGGGGAGGGCCAGGGGCGGTCAATGACCGGGGCATGGCCAGGGGCGGTTAAGGACCGCGGGGGGCAAGGCCAGGGGCGGTCAGCGACCCGCAGGGAGGGTTAGGGGCAGTCAGTGACCGGGGGAGGGCAAGGGGCCGTCAAGGACCGGGGGGTAGGGCCTGGAGCGGTCGAGGACCGGGAGGGGGGCAGGGTCAGGGGCCGTCAAGGACCGGCGGGGGGCAGGGCCGGGAGCGGTTTGAGACCGGGGGCTCCGACAATAGCAGCCGTACAAAGCCATTACATCGGGACACGCCGTGTTTCGCAGTCAGGGTGTCTCCAATCTGTACGTGTCCCGAATCGGGCAACATCAGCAAACCAACGCCGTAATCTGTCACGGCCTGAACCGACCTAGCTGACCAGGCAGGAAAAGAGTCCAGGTCATCACGAGATGACTCACGCAGTAACCTACAGTTATACACAATAAGCTCACGGACCCAGATTAATCTAATCCTAGCGCGAGCGACTTTCATTCGCGCAACAGGGGTTGGAAGAAGGATATCTCTTCACTTGGATTCCACTGGAGTGAAAGCGGCGAAAAGCAAAGGTCTTGATGCCTGACGGCACAAATGCATTCGTTTCAAATCCGGATCTGCCGAAAAGCAGGACCTTACGAGACTGTTAAGAGGGAGTTGGAGTTTGCCTGTTTGAAGACGCTCACAGCATTTTCTAACGTGAACATGAACGTAAATCACGCGGGAAAGAGGTTATTTTACACCAACTTCACACGAACACTGGCAATATTACGGCGGCCAATCTTGCTGTCCCTCCCTCACACACTCCAGCCGTTCTGCCGGCGTCGAAACTACCCTGACACGCGACACCAAAACTATCCTGACGCCGAAACTACCCTGGCACCTGAACCAAAAAATATCCTGGCACTTGACACCGAAACTACCCTGATATCTGACACCGGAACTAACTCGACACCTGACACCGAAACTACCCCGACACCTGACACAAAACCCACCCTGAAACCTGACACTGAAACTACCCTGAAACCTGACACTGAAACTACCCTGATACCCGACACCGAAATTACCTGAAACCTGGCAATGAAACTACCCTGACACCTGACACCAAAACTACCCTGACACCAAAACTACCTTAACACCTGACACAACCAGCGCATGATCGACACCGGCGCCACTGCCGCCACTCACCTTGGAACACTGTCGTGACATAGGGGTCACTCTTCCCCACGCTCTCGGCGTTGGGGAGGTTGGACGCGCTAAGCACGTGCGCTCGAAGCATGGTGACGTCACCAGTCCGGACTGCAACACACGGATAAATGCGTCACACAGGTCCTGTCGGGGGACCTGCGACAACAGTGTAGAGCCATGGGATCGGGAAAAGCTGAGACTGTATGTGGCGACAAAGGGCGTATTCGCAGCGTGCAAGAATGTCGCATTATTCGTGACGACACGTAGAATCTTTGCCGGTCGTGTTCGCAGCGCGACACGTTTTCTGTTTACATCTTCGTAACTTTCGTGACAGTGACTGGACATGCGAGATACCAGCATTTACGTTCGCACATGCTCTGCGTGCTCCTAACACTGGAAACTGCAGATTCTGCTGTTTGGAACTAATAAAACATATTCCTATCAGCCGAGATAGGCCCCGTGCGCGCGCAAGTGGGCTGTTTTTTTAATTGAATCAGTTGTGCTTGTAGGTGTAACTTCACGGAAGCAATCTTGATTCCACGCGTCGGGCAAATATTCTACGTGACGTCACTTAGAATCTGCCGTCCGGGTCGCCGCGAACACCAAAATGCGCAGAACCCACGGGGTATGACGCCATGAATGACGTCGACGGTATAAATCTTAGCCACCTAGGTCGCTGTGAATACACCCAAGATCTCCGCGGATTTCGGTCCGTTTCCAACGTTCGGCAGCGACCCATCGCACTCTACGACACAATCAACGCTAACGCCTGCATGCGGCGCCGCAGGCCTTTCTTCAAAGGACGGCACGATTGCTAAGCCTGCTGATGCGAGCGCAGGTGGGGAGCGTCGACAACAGGTGGCGCGGGAAAGCAGATAGAAACAAAGCCTTCTCGAAAGTTTTCACAGGAATCGCACAGGCCTGGTCAACCGGCCTGTCGTATGACACCGTCACTTTACTGTCGTACGACACCGTCACCATATGACACCGTCACTTCACTGTCGTATGACACCGTCACCATATGACACCGTCACAATATCCATCATCTATCAATTAAAAATGGTGTCGCCGGTGATACGCCCGGCATGTATCAGTCCCACCCGCGTTTATGAGCGGCGATGACACTGGACGTTCGCAGGCAACGGACAGGGGTCCGATTGGGCCGCGTCAAAAGCAAGGCACCACTTCAACGAACCAGAGACGTGCCAACGAACGTGCCAACCCGTGCCAAGACGTGCCAACTCCAACGTGCCAACAAACCGGAACCAGTTCAACGCGACCGTGGCGGTCAGGGTGAGATACCAACGGATGTATCTTAAGTGATCGCAGATAGCTCAAACAGGCGATAAGCAGTTTCGCTTGTCATCAGGACTTAACGACGTACTCAGCTGTTGAGGCTATACCGCGACGCCTGCTTCTCACTCCGACAGAAAGGGGCCGACACCACGTGGAATCGAACCCCGGACCTCTGGTTTCCCAGACGCGCAGCTTAGCCACGTCAATACCGGCATCCCGGTAAGCGGTTTCGTCTCATATGATTTCAACGCGGACACGGCCTTGCGGTATTTACCTGCCACTGTCACAAGAACGCAACTTACATGAAAGCTCGGCGCAAGAACTCAGGCGACCCACTGGCATATTGACCTCAAAACAGTTCACCCCTCTCCCGCCGGTATGATGTTCCCGCGCCCACTAGGCTGGGCGTCACGACTTGTCACACCGCGTTTTTGTTGTTATTTGGGCTTAAGGGCGCGCCGACATCCTTGTCACATCACGTGCTGTCGAATATTCCTTTCGCTGCATGGGACACCATGAGTGTTACTGTGTCACGTGATAACGTAATGGCCCTATTCTGTACCACGTGGTAACCATGCCGGTTCCGCCGCAGTGTGTGTTGACGTCACGGGTTCCGCAGCACCGCGCGATGACGTCACAGGTCCCAATACACCGTGTGATGACGTCACAGGTCCCGATGCACCGTGTGATGACGTCACAGGTCCCATTGCACCGTGCGACGACGTCATAGGCCCCGCTGCACCGTGCGATGACGTCACAGGTCCCACTGCACCGTGTGATGACGTCATAGGCCCCGCTGCACCGTGCGATGACGTCACAGGTCCCACTGCACCGTGTGATGACGTCATGGGTCCCGCAGCACGGGCAGCGGCCGGTCACGAGCCGGCGCGCCGGGAAGCATTGTCTGCCGCCCACCGCGTGCTACCGCCGCCCCCGCCGCCGCGTCCGCGCGGGGCGTGCAAGACCGTGGCCTCACGAGTCCGCACCAGCCCGCCGGTGGAGGTGCAAACTCCGGGCCACCCGGCCCACACACTAAACAACTGATGGTAGCAGTGTTCTGACTGACGGTGGCAGTGTCCTGACCGACGGTACCAGTGTGCTGATCGACGGCAGCAGTGTCCTGACCGACGGCAGCAGTGTCCTGACCGACGGCAGCAGTGTGCTGATCGACGGCAGCAGCATCCTGGACGACGGCACCATTGTCCTGACCGACGGTAGCAGTGTCCTGGCCGATGGTAGCAGTGTGCTGATCGACGGCAGCAGTGCCTTGACCGACGGCACGTAGCGAGGGTAGCAGCAGATAAGGCCAGGTCGCTTATGTCAGCTTTCTGACAGAGCTAATAACTTAGAATGGAAGGCTTTATCGGCTTTTCAAGCGCTAGGGCCATTACTGTAATTAAGACTGAGGGGGGGGGGGGGGTAAGGTACCAGAATTACATCTGTCACATACCGCCATGCTTACACAAGTCACATGCCGTCAAGTCACATCTGTCACATGACGTCAAATTTGTCATATACCCAGTCACATCTGTCACATACCGTCAAGTCACAGCGGTTACATACCGACAAGTCACAGCGGTTACATACCGACAAGTCACAACGGTTACATACCGACAAGTCACAGAGGTTACATACCGACAAGTCACAGCGGTCACATACCGACAAGTCATAGCGGTTGCATACCGTCAAGTCACTGCGGTTACATACCGACAAGTCACAGAGGTTACACACCGACAGGTCACAGCGGTTACATACCGACAAGTCACAGCGGTTACATACCGTCAAGCCACAGCGGTTACATACCGACAAGTCACAACGGTTACATACCGACAAGTCACAGCGGTTACATACCGACAAGTCACAGCGGTTACATACCGACAAGTATGACAAGTAAGACAAGTGTGGAAATGTCTAAAAAGTAAATACGTGGGCAGCTTATCAGGAATTTTTCGCGCGGACAAGTTGCTACGAACAGTTATGACCTATGAGCGTGAACGTAATACCGCGGAGTATAATGGATCCAGCGTTTGCGCTACTGCAGGGGTCACTTCGGATACTAAATCCGATACTATCCCGGCACCAGGGAACATAACTCATACAAAGGCTTCCTTCATCAGGAAATAGCACAAAATATGACAGGAAAGGTCCCGCAATCTGGGTTTTTATCTGCAAGGAAATTACAGCTGCCAGCTAGCCCTCCTGCCCCCTCTATACTAAGTCCCCGCGCAAACGATGGATAAGAAGCATAAAAATAAGCAAACTTTAACGATCACTGTGATCAACGTATCTCATGTCGTTAAAAGTGTACCGGATATTTGTGCGCACTGAAAGCAGCGCATGATGAAGCCATGGGCTATTTTCCAGCGGAAATGGTAAATTGACCACGGACCCAGCGATTTAAGGCGAATCCTAACCATCGACGCAATATTCAAAACCAGACAACACGATTTCACAACTTGGGGTGCACTGACGGAGCCGTCAGCGTCAGTAAGGCATATGAGGACGGGCTTCAGGAAAATAAGGGGATCATACACAGCTCCTTGCCGCCCCGCCCGACAGAGGAAACAAGCCATCAACAGACAAACTTGCGGTCAATCACAAGACGCAAGGGACACTGTATCAAGTCTGCAAGGGACACTGCATCAAGTCTCCTTGCATAAGACATCACGTCACCCTGCACCCATTCGGCTCTAAAAATATACCAGCTTCAGAGAAAAACCGTTATACATACACACAAGCCCACCCTTTTGCTGTTTTCAACGTTACATACCAGGCAAACATCACCGAATAAACATTTACAGTCTTAACTCCACTCCGCCAATGACCGCGTTTGCTCGGCGCCCAATCAGCTCCAATGACCGCTCAATGCGAGCCAGGTCCCACCAACGCCCCTTCCAACGCCCCACCAAACTTCCGGTCCGGTCCCGCCAGCGACCACCGCAGCGCCAGCTCCGTATCAGCGTTAATCGCGCCGTCCCGTTCGCGCCTTCCGGCTGCGTCGTCTGCAGGTCAAGGTCAAACACACATACACACACACACACACCCTCCGGGACGGCGTGAAGCTAACGGCAGACGCTGACATCAAACCAACACCGGTCTGGCCACAGTCACCCCCACAGCGGCGGTGACGCCGGCAGAGGGGAGGGGGAGGAGTGTCGGACTCACGGGGGTCTGCAGCGGTGTCATGCGACAGGCTAGCTGACCGGGGTCTGTGCCGGTGCCATACGACAGGCTAGCTGATCGGGCTCTGTGACGGTGTCATACGACAAGCTAGCTGATCGGGCTCTGTGACGGTGTCATACGACAAGCTAGCTGATCGGGCTCTGTGACGGTGTCATACGACAAGCTAGCTGATCGGGGTCTGTGACGGTGTCATAAGACAGGCTAGCTGACCGGGGTCTGTCACGGTATCATGCGACAGACTAGCTGACCGGTGTCTGTGACGGTGTCATACGACAGACTAGCTGACCGGGGTCTGTGACGGTGTCATACGGCAGACTAGCTGACCGGTGTATGTGACGGTGTCATACGACAAGCTAGCTGACCGGTGTCTGTGACGGTGTCATACGACGGACTAGCTGACCGAGGTCTCCGACAGCGCCATACAAAAGTGAGGAGTACCGGGCTTGGGAGCTGAAACCGGACCTATGCCGGTGCCGGAATGACGGCAGCTTATCACAATACCCGAAGTTGTTTGGGTAGCGTGCCGTGGGCCTGGCGAGAAGATCGCACGCCTCGACTGGCGAGATCGCCAAAGGCACTCGTCAAAAGCATGACGGGCGTCAGATGTGACCTGCGACGGACACGCCTGAGATTCAGGCCTTCAGGCTATACGCCGGCGTGGAACGCCTCGATATGTCCGCTGACGTCACCTGATTGTATACTTCTAACGTGGCGTGACGGCTGTGAACTTCATGTGTTGACAGGTTACCACGCCCGCAAATGCTTCCGCCGACATTTCTTGGAGCCGCCATGACGAAAGCCCAGAGAGCTATCTTGGCCCTATCGCCGGGGCTAGTCACAGTGTATCCGAGCGATAAGGAAAGCCCTCGTGAAGCGGACCAGCTACCAATGGAGGAAAGCGGTCTTCGTCCGGAAAACTCCTGTCTACCCGGACCCTTGCTCGTGGAGGACAACGCACGCAATGGTGTGTGCGCCAATATGTCGTCTTGGGACGACAATGGTGGTGTTCTATTCGAATTCCATCGGTTCGCTTCCACTGATGTTCTCGACTGCACGCATAATCTAAGCGCGTCCCACCGCACTTTCCGTGATTGGACCTTGTCAGCAGACGAAGGTAAGGAGCACCTCATGTGGTGTTTATCGCCTCACGGTCATTTTTTAAGTTAATTAAGTAAAATTAAGCCAAGGCTAAGTCCTCACCTGCGCGGGAGTATCAAGCCGGGCCACCGGGGGTCAGGGGTCACGTGGCCGGCGTGACGTCACCACGTCCCGGCACCCGCCGCCGTCTGCAGACCGGAGGCAAGCGTCAAGGGCGAGGGCAAGACACCTGTCCCGGTCCCCACCACTTGGCTATTAGGAATTCCGATGGCGTATGGCGGGCTGGTCCCGGCCCGCGCTGTCACAACATATATCGATGAAATCAAACACGCATCTCCGTGTGTTAGAGAGACGCGACGTCAAGCGATGCGGTGCGATGATGATGTGGAAGACGGCCCGCCACGCCCCCATCTCCCGGCTCATGAGGCTCATTTGCCACGTTTGGAGTACGTGGACGCTGTCTCACATGCGTCAGTCCTCCGCTTGATACGCCATGAGGCAGTGTTCAGTTGCGACACTTGGAACCGATGACTATCGAGAAACAAGCAGCGTTTATTCACGTCTGAGCGAGTCTGATTCCCACAACCAGCGTATCGGTTCGCGCAAACGTCGACGTTGAGAAGAAGCGTACTTCCTCAGAGCGACTCGTGGTATCCGATTATTTCCTGGCCGCGACCGGGCGCTGACCAGTCCTTACAGGACGAAACCGGCATGAACTGCCTTCAACACAGTTAGAACAACTTTCCTACTCGAGAGATCCATATACCATCTACCACGGCGTTGGCATTCCCATAAAAGTGGAAAGAGAACTTCACATAATGCCGGTACGCGAGACCAGTTCGAAGTCAGCTTTCTCTCCCCATACCACCCGGATAAAGTCAGCCCGGAGACGGGAGCATCCCTTCGTCTGCTGCGATGACAAACCTAGATGTCTTAATGCCTTGATAAGTGCCGTGAGTTTATGTGCAGACCTCGTAATTAAAAGTTGCATTTCTTTTGTGAGGTATCGCAGCGCAGGGAAGTCCAAAACAGAAGCAAACATCAGCTGCAGCCACGAGAGTTCGTCGTAACGGATATATGTCGTCAATGGTAGCAAATGTGCACACCAGCGGACGCATCACAACTATCATAAATCACTTATAAGCGGCATACCGTTGCTAAACTGGATTTGCTGTCGATCGTTGTCATTCCAAACTGTTTGACTGCATCGAACAGGGACGGTAGCTTACATCGACGTAGCCTGTCGTAACTGTCCTGCTCTCGCAGCTCTCGTGGTCCTCGAAGCGACTTCCGTTGACACAAATGTGATGCCATTGTTTTCTATTCACAAAATAAACAGTCCAATATTGGAAATGATATCATGTGTGTCGCTGCAAAGAAAATACATGTCCAAGACGACAGTTGGCTTTTCAGGTCCTGAAGTGAGCTTTCGGGGTGTTTTTTAACTCTTCTCGTGCTCTTATTTGCTCGGATCTGGACGTTTGCTCCCTGCAGGCTCAGAAGCATCTACATGCATGTCACGCAATTATGTGGTCGGCGAATTGTACAGCAACAGCATTGTACAGCAGGCACCTTCTGCCTGCTTCAGTCCTGACGCAAAGAATAGCCAGACCTGCGTCTTGACGAGTGTGTGAGTGACGTGAGTGAGTGTGAGAGTGCGTTAGTGACGTGAGTGAGTGAGTGAGAGTGTGTGAGTGACGTGAGTGTGAGTGTAAGAGTGTGTTAGTGACGTGAGTGAGTGAGTGACAGTGTGTGAGTGACGTGAGTGAGTGTGAGTGTGTGAGTGTGTGAGTGTGTGAGTGACGAGAGTGACGTACGAGGAGTTCCGAGCCAGCATGAAGTGGAGAGGCGCGCGCCCGGACTTCGCCGGCGCCGCGACCTTAGCAGATCAAGCAGACGACGCAGCGGTTGCTTACACGCTGTCGATAGCTTCTGCTAAAGTAAGCAGAGCCCGAGCCGAACTACCAGGGATGACTGAGTCCGCCTCTCACGGACACCGAACCGTGTCCGGTCAGGTTTTTTTTTAGTAGAAGTTTTGGAACGAGTGCCGCTGCGACCTCCCACCTCGAGCACACTTAACACGTATTCACCGTGAATGATGCGTGCAGAAAAGACGCGAATGCGCACTTGTATGAGTGTGTGGTGTGCGTCTTTGTGGTCTGGAATCATGTGTGTGTGAGAGAGAATACGCGTATATCTGCTTGAGTTGTGTGCTTGGGCTGTGTAACCGTGTTTGGCGACCAATGCAATAGATGCATTACGAAGAGCTGAAAACGGATGGAACGTTAAACAGCCATATCCACATTATCCAACCAGCCGGGACATAACGTTAAGGGGGACATAACCTTCAGGAAAAGCTAGTGCATGAGTGACAGTGGCGATACGAATGATGTGCCAAGGCGCTGGAGCCAGTACCTTTTCAAAGGAGACGACATGCCGTATTATTCACGTACAACAACCCCGGCATACCTATCCCGTCTGAAAACTCGTCACCACGTGCCTTTCCGTCTGACGGCTCGTTCCCACGTGCCTCCCCGTATGATGACTTGTCATCACGTGTCTCCCGTCTGATGACTCGTCCCCACGTGTCTCCCGTCTGATGACTCGTCCCCACGTGTCTCCCGTCTGATGACCCGTCATCACGTGCCTCCCGTCTGATAACTCGTCCCCGCATGTCCCGCGTGTCTCCCGTCTGATTACTCGTTCCCACGTGTCTCCCGTCTGATGAATCGTTATCACGTGTCTCCCGTCTGATGACTCGTCCCCACGTATCTCCCGTCTGATGACTCGTCGCCACGTACATGCCAGCCTGGTGACCCGTCAGCGTGTGTTCCCGGCCACCTCGTCTCACCACGTGCCGCAACCACCGGGCGATCCGGTGACGCCCGCCGGCCTCACTGGGCCCAGCCCCGGCCCGCCCCCGCGCCGATGATGTCATCACACGTCAGAGCGCAGGGAGCGTGGGCGTGGGCGGGGACGGGGGGGGGGGGGGGGCGGGGCCCGGTAGCGGGTCATGACACGCCGCAGCCGACACCAGGGTCTCAGGCAGCGCCGCTGTCCGGCACCGCCTGGCGCCCCAACACGAGCCGCCACCGACCGGGCACGCCACCAGAGGAAAACTGGAGGCACGTGTGACGTCACCACACAGGTTGAGCGGTGCTCAGCTGTTGCGCATCAGGGCAGCTGTGACCGGAGTGACATGCGAGAAGAACTGCGAACTATCATCTTAGTGAATGATGGATTGCGGAGCTCCGTGGATAACGGTGAAGGGCGGATGCGGCCTGGCCTTCGGGCGGATGCGGCCTTCGCAACTTAAACTAAACCCGATAGTACTCAAGGGATGTTCGCAAGGTTTTTTGACACGAAATGCTACGGAAACAGCACGCGTACAGCTAACTGATGTAGCCTGCATACCAAGCACACCGCACTAGTCTGTTCCCAAAACAGCGGCGTTCCTTTCGCGTGGCGGGGGCGCAAACAGACCCTGGACCACGAAAAGGACGCAAACATGAAAAACGACATTGTTTAACTGCTGGCCGAACGTCCCAGCTGAACGCAACCGCACACAGCGTGTTCTCACGAAGCACGACACCGAACGGACAAACAATGGGACCTTTCAAACAACGCCGTAACGTGAGAGCACCGCACGCGCAACCGACCGAGCGATTCTGAAATCGCAAACACCAATAAGCGATTCGCAATGTTAGCGAGGACCAGCGACGCTGAATAACGCCCCAGCATCATTGCTCCCGCCCGACCCAACGCTCACCCTGCTGACGTCCAACCACGCGCAGCAGTCACCTCTGCACACACCAAAACGTCGGTCACATGTCTCATGGCATCTGCGCGGCTCTTCAGCTGACGTTAAGTACAGCTTATGACCGCATAGTGTATGCACAAAGTAAACATGTCCATTCAGCAACTGGCCGATCACTCACCAAGCCCACGCAAAAGCCCACGGTCACAAAACCGTCCACCGACGGTTCACGACAGTGTCCATAAACACTGCCATCGGCGGCATGTCCCCACCGCCCGATGCGCCGCTCACCAAGGCCCCCCCCCCCCTCCCTCCCTCCCTCACACGTCATGCGACTTCCTCTGGTGGCGCTGGTCGGGGCCCGTGCAGCCGTCAGCCGCAGAGCGGTGGCCATGCATCGGCCTTGACCGCAGACGTCAATGAATGGCCCAACGGAAGCCGGTAACGCAGGCGTGGGCCGAGGCGCCGCATAGACTGGCCGGGCGACAGCTCCAGACTGGGTGGGCGACAGTGCCAGACTGGGTGGGCGACAGCTCCAAACCGGGCGGGCGACAGCTCCAGACTGGGTGGGTGACAGTGCCGGACTGGATGGGCGACAGTGCCAGACGGGGTGGGTGACTGTGCCAGACTGGATGGGCGAAAGTGCCAGGCTGTGCGGGTAACAGTGCCAGACTGGGTGGGCGACAGCTCCAGACTGGGTGGGCAATAGCATCAGACTGGGCGGGCGACAACATCAGACTGGGCGGGCGACAACACCAGACTGGGTGGGCGACTGCATCAGACCGGATGGGCCCCTGTATCCTCTTCCGTGGCAGCGCCCTCGCAGGCCTCAGCTCGACCAAGGCGCCGTATTCCACCCGCAAAGAGATACACAAGACGGTGAAGTCATCTCGACGTCTGCAACGGTGTGAGTGTGAAGGACACTTTATAACCTCTTCCAATGGTTATAAAGTGTATAACCTATATAACCTCGGGCGGGTTTTTCATCAGCCTTGCATCAGGATCGGTGATGAGATAAAATTGAGCAACAATACGGGACTCGGACACATCATGCGGGGGGACACACTCCCGGACATCTGCCGGGACTGTGTCCTGCCTGGCCGACTGCAACACTGCTGCAATTCAAATGTCCACATCGCTCAAACCAAACCCTGAAGTACAACGAAGATACGGATCCAGAGGTAACGAACGGGCCGTCCATCCTTCGGAAGCAGCAAGCATTTTGAAAACGGAGCAGGTAAGGCAAGGAAGCAACTAGAAATAATTATGAAGCAAAGGATGACCATCCTTCTTACCTTATAAGCTGCGCAGACTACATCAAGCATGCATGGATGAGAGCCAACATGAGCAATAAACTGGAATCGCATGTGCAGGATTTATCACTTTTCAATAGCTTAATCATCGTCATGAACCGTTCAGCAGACGACCAGC